TGTGTGTGTGTGTGTGTGTGTGTGAAGAACCTGTTCTTGACAGCAGAGAGTATAAAGTGGTTTCAGACTTTGTCCTGATTTTTGAACTATAATAAAATTAAAAACTTTTGTCTGGAGTGTTGTGCTACCAGCAGGGCTGAGCACTGATGAGTGGATGATTTTGGATGACCAGTGACCTGCTCTAGGTGTACAGCCACAGCAAGGGATTTGTTTAAAACAGAACTGAAGTTCTGCTGTGTCCTCAAACTGTGTGCTGGACAAGTCAGGACTCTACTGGGGCCAAGTACCTTTTTTCACTGGTTGTATGTTTGCCTGAATGCAAAGATGCACCTGATGGATCTTGGTGGAATACCCAAAAGCATGTTGCTTTTTCCTCCCAAGGCCAGTGTGATTTAGAGGCTGGCTTAGGGCATTAGGGCAGGCATCCAACCTCAGTAGCGTATTGGAGTCCCTTGCAAGCTGTAGCACGCTTACTCTCTAGTGAAACACTGCCAATTAAAAAAAAAACACCTGCTGGAATTTTGCATTGTAGGCACGAATATACCATCCAGCCCCTGCTTCCTAAATTTCTCTGTTCCCTTTCTGTGCTTGCTGTGTGGCAAGCAGCCTTCTCCTCCTATCCCAGAGCCATGTGCGGGCTGTCTGCATGCCCTCTTCCAGTACTGCGACTCCCAGCTGTGAGAGCAGCCTTCTTTTCCCAAGGTGGTGGAGCCCTGCAGGCTGGCTGATCTCCTAAACCTCTATTCCTGTAGCTCCACAGCAGGTGAGTGCTGTTCAGAACCCAGAGGTGCTTGGGGAGCCTGTTCAGAGTTGCCAGCATGCTTCCATGATGCATTCTGGTGGGGTTTCCCAAGTCTAAAAGCAGCTTTCCCCTTATTCCTACCTCTGGCACTACTTCATGCACCCCCCTACCCGTCCAGCTGGTAGGAGTTCCCTCTTTGCTCTTCCTGGCTTTTGCTTCCAGGCTTTTCTTTGAAGCTTTCCTGATCTCACTACTCTGCTTTGCGATATTGCTGCTGACTTCTCTCAAACCTTTTCAACTGCAGTTTGTGTAAGAGGCTACTCAAAATGAAACTTTTGTATCTCTTGCTTCCATGCTGCCTGGACTTCTCTTGAACTGCACTGGGGATGTGAACCTCTTTCCCATGCACCTCTGACTCCTGCCTCAGATGTCAGTCTTGCCCCACAGTGAGTTAACTCAGAGTCCAGGCTGTGGGAGACTCCACATCTACCCTTACAAGTCAGCATGCCGTCTTCTGAATTGGTGACAAGGGGAGTGTCTCAGTGTAAGCAGAGTTGGGACTTGGAGAGAGGTATCTGCAGTCCCCTCGGGGAAGGAGAATTCTTGGGTCTAATCCTAAGACACCACAGAAGGGCTCAGCAGAGGAGTTTATCAAGCTCCATCCAGGAACGCTGAACTGGAATTGTGAAAGTTTGGCTGTTTTGTGCAGCCCAGAATGGGGTAGTAATTGGGCAGGCTTTGTTGTCCTTGGGAAATTACTCTACAGCTCCTTCCATTTTAAGGGAAGAAATTGCAGGAGGGTTCAAGGAATCAGGCTAATTCTTCTATAGGATTTATGCAGAAAAAACTTGTGTATGTTTGCCTCTTATTTCTTATGGCTCTTTAAGATATGAGTAATGAACTTTGAAGAAGGCCTTATCTGTACCACTCTGTAGAATTATCCCAGCCGTAAGTCCAAGTTGGGGACAGGGAAGAAGCAGGGCAGTGGGTGCCAGCCCTGGATGGGGAGTGCAGATGAAAAGACTTGAAGATGAACAGACCCAGCAATCTGGAAGTTGAAGAGGCCCTCAGACATGCCTGAGTAAGGACAGAGAGGAGCTAGTTGCTGTGCTGAGCCTCCTGAGGGTGCAGAGGATGCAGGTTCTCTCTGGTGCTTGCACAGACGCTGTGCTGCCCCATGGCATGACAGAGGAGTTCCCAGTTCCTTCCCCTGGCCAGGGAACTGGCCCTGCAGCATCACTGCTTTGAGGCTGACCTTGTGTCACAGTGAAATGTCTGCAGTGAGCTGGCTGTGGGGCTGATACCTAGGGGGCTGTAGAGCTGCTTTGAATTATTTGTGGTCTAAAGACTACAGCAAGTAGCTTAAGGGAAGTGGGACCCTTGCTCTGCCCTGCTGCCCCACTGCCCCTTGTTGGGGCAGTAGAAGGGTCTGGAGAAGGAGGAGGGAACCAGGTGCATTCTCTGAGGATGGTGATTCTTTGAGGATTTCTGCACACTAGCAGGGAGTAGCAAATTAGCTAGCCTCTGGCCAGCTGATCTCTCTGAAGCCTTGGTCTGGTCACCCAGGATCCTAACCATATTGTTTTTCTCTGTCTGACTTGCAGAAAGTGATGCCGGAAGCCTGCACTGATACCATAGTCCTTGAGGAATCAAAGCTGTGACATGGAGGGATGGCAGACCTGGGAGATGCAGCCCCCCTCATTCCCTCCCATCTTTGCTACCTGTTACATGTGCACCATGGTGGGGAGGGCAGCCTCAGGACAGAAGCCCGGTGAACTGCTTGTGGGGAGTATGAAAGAGCAAAACAAGGAGTTGCTCTCTTCAGTTGTACCTCTGGATCTTGCTATTTTGGAGACCTGGCTGCTTGGGAGGAAAAGTTGGGAAAACCCACTCCTTCCCCCCATCCTACCATGTATGCTCAGTGAAGAAAAAGCACACTTGCTGAGAAAAGCCATAGTTCCAGGCTAGCCCTGAGCACATCAAGGTGGCACCCTGCACCTGACTGCATCTCCTCTCACAGGCAAGCTGTGACATGAAATGCAGGAGCTGGACCACGCTTACTCTGTGAGCAGCCCTGGAAGAGCTTGCAGCTGGCTCTCAGAAAGAGGGATTGCTCTGCCTTGGTGCCTATGATGCTTTGTGTTGCACAGGTGATGGTAGAGACCTCAGCAAATCACCAGTAATGCGAAGTAGTGTATCTGCTGCAGCTGGCTCTAGTTTTATTATGTGGCTGTTCCAGATAAAGCACTCTTAGTCTGGATAAACCTCTGCTCAGAATTCACTGAGCTTGCCCCGATGTTCCTATATATTAGGAGTAATTGAGAGATACCAATATGCCTCCTCCTACCTGGAGGCAAGGACTAGTTCTGCAGCTTATGTTGAAGCTACAGCCTAAGCCCCGCTCCTCCCTACACTAGCAACAGGAGTGAGTCAAACCACAAGCTCCCCTGGCTGAGGACTGTCTTCCTCCTTATGATAAAGTGCCTCTTGCATGTTTCAACACTACATAAAAACTTCTGCGAGGTGCTATATTGAGATAACCAGCCAAGGCTGTGTTGTACTTCACAGCCACAGAGAGGGGCTTGAGTATGATGGGAATCCAGATTTGCTCCAGTGTGGACACTTCCTACTTTATAATAGAGAGCAGGAGAAGCAGCCCTCTTACCACCATTTGTGTCTTGTAGATGCTCCCCCTCTCTATGCTGCTGTTTATCTTCCAAACACAAATGTAGATCCTTATATCCCTTCTCCTTTCTTTCCAGTATCCCTCCACTGCTGGAGACATCAAGTGTCCTTATGCTACTTGTATCATGCAGTTATGCATGAATCATTTTGGGGTGGGGGGGCAAAAACCACAACCAGGTAGAACGGATAAGAATAGTCCTTTCTGACATACCATTTTTGACAAAATATTTTTTTGGGTGAAATTATACAGTCTTTTGACATATTAAAAAATTCAAGTCCTATTTTGATAGTTTGTGATGGAGGATGGGGGTCTAAAGTGGCTTTTCAACAGAATATAAAATGAATTAATACAATGAAACCTGACATTAATATTAAATGGTTGAAACAGTCTGTATCTGGCTCTTTAACAACCTGAAATGTTTTGCAGAATGGAAAAATTGTCTATCTGCCCAGTGCTACTGTTGTGTTCTTTTCTTCCCTTCTGTGTTTTTCATCTCCTCTGCACATGCTCCAGCTTAGGAGATCCTGCTGGTTCTTTCCTACCTTCTGTACATTGCCCATCTGCTTTGAGTATTATTTCATCTAGGTCTAAGCAACCTGTTCCTGTTTTCTCTGTCTTCTGTAGTTATAGCTCACTAAAGAGGTAGATCAGCCCTTGCTCACAGATGCACACAGTTTGCTGTCACCAGCACGCTGCAGAAGTGAGAGCTCTAACACCTCTCTTCAGGTGCATGGGTGATATGCGCAGTGAAACCTGGAACTTTGTGAAAAGGAGGGAGGGAATGGTGGGTTTGCTGTAAAGAGAGATGATTTATCCTGCAGCATACAGTAGAAACTGCTGTTTGCTCTGAGGTTGTACATCCTCTACCTGCTGCTGTGTAGCAGAAAGACAGATATAGCACCTTCCCGTTTTCTGTAATTTATTAGAAATGGCCCCTGAGGAACACACACATGCAAGTTACACAGCAGTGCCAGGTGCAGCACACGTTCTCTTTCTCATCCAAAGTGTTCAGTGGATCCTGGGTACCTCTACACCTCCTCCCGCAGGTAGACTGGAAGAGAAGTCCTTAGTGCACTGGGCACTGCGAGACATTCCCTGCAGTCACCAACTGCCCGCCGCAGGCTTTGATGCAAACTCCTCTGAGACTTGGTCTTTGACGTCAGTTGGTTGAAATGTTTCCTAGACAAGAAAAAACACTTGGTAATGAAGAATGATTGACAGATTCCAACATTGATCCACTAGTGGGACTGGTGTCCTGGAGAAGTTTAGCCGAGTTGTAGTGGAAGTTTGGCAGTGAACATCGGAGACAACGCTGACCTATGCAGGGCCCTCAGCTTCAGTTTTTCTTCTTGTTTTGTAACAGTACTTCTACCTCCAGGTACTGCAGCCCAATCAACATCCCCATAATAGAGAAACCTGTGATGGAGATACAGGATGAGTTGTACAGAAAATGCTGGACAGGAGATGAAGCATTCCCTCCCACCATCCCCTCCCTGCCCTTAGCTCATAGCCCCATGGAGAGTTTTTCTGGGGGGATCATAGCTCCAATGGGAGTTTGTAGATGGAGGATGCAGAGTTCTACTTACTTGCTACCATGAGGGGTGCCATAACTCCAATTGTTAAGGCTGCAGTGTGGTAAATGAAGACCTCAGAGAGGAAATGAACAAGGGCCAAAAAGAAGGTGAAGAGCGTGATGTAATAGAGGCTGTTGGAGAACAGAAAGAAGCAGGTTATCATATCATATCCACAAGCATGGCTGAGTGGAAAAGAGACAAACCTGCATGCTGCCCTGTCTGTCCTCACTGTGGCAGCACAGAGGGTGCTTGGTTCCTTGCCTAGTGAGGTGCAAAAGCTCCCTGGGCAACAACTAGGAGGGGAACAGGGCAGCATGTTCAATGGAGCATTCAAAGTCACAGGCATTATCTCGCCTGAAGGCAGGCGAAGAAGGGACAGCAAGGGCAGGGTACCTGTGAAGTGCGTGTGGCACACACAAAGAGGCTGAGAACTGGATGAGCCAAGAACTAGGGCGACAGGACTTGGCTGACTACAGGCTGCATCACCCAACACATCTTCCCACCTGTGCTCTGCTACCCTCTAGGGGCCACAGCTGTGGAAAGGGAGCAGGTCCAAGAGATGCAAGATTAAAAACAGATAACTGAGTCCCTGCACCTCCCTACCACAGGCAAGCCTAGGCAATCAAGGACACACTGCCAGGTGAACAATGACTTCTGGGGCAGGGTTCGGGGAAGTGGTGACAAAAGAGTGAATTCCAGCAACTTCCAACACAGGCTTTGTCCAGCACAGACCCAGAGTCACCCTGCTTGGAAATCCCTTTCAGAAATACTTCTGTCACTGCAGGCAAAAATGATCTGCCTCCCACCACAGCATCAAGCTGAACCTCAGGCCTTGTGTTAAGGTAAGAGTGTATGGAAGAAGGCATCGGGTTAAGATCACTGCAAGGGGCCTCTCAACCTGCCACAGTTTTTACCTGAGCTGTTGTGGGAAGAGAAGTACCAAGCATCAGTCTGACCACAGCACTAGCAATTGCTTAATGTCAACAGAGCAGTGATGCCATCAGAAGATGCTTTCCAAGCTGGAGCTCAGAAATTTGTGATATAAGAAGTTCTCAGATCCACCAATTTCTGCCTGAGCTAAGAGACAGAACTCAAACGGGCTGGCTCTCCCCACAGAGGCAGAAGGGAGCGGCAGTGAACACACATCCCGCACTGCTGTTTAAGCTCTTTCGGGGGAATGCTTTCAACCTTACAGAAAATTCAGGAACAGCTTTTGATTCCCCACCTCCTCCATGCTGCCCACTAAGCTAGCTGCTCAGGATGTGACTAGCAAGCAATCCGAAGGATCTCTCCGGTGCCCCTTTACATACGTCCTATTGCGGATGTCGATGGCGCAGAGGCAGCGGATCACTGACGACAGCAGGGTCCAGACGCCAAAGGTCCGAGCCTGGAGCCCGTTCACTGCGCAAAGAAGGGAGGAGCCCATGTAGCCCGCGCACAGCCCCGCTGCCGCCCCA